CCATTAAAAAAAAAAAAAGGCGCGAAGCATATTTGAAGAAAAAACAAGCTCAAGTGAGTTCTTCGATTAGAAGAAAGCTGTCAGGCGTTTATGGCATGAAAACCGGCGAAGACAGTTGTGAGCACTGCGCGGAGTGGTTTGACGCGTTCCGCGAAGCGCTGAAGGCATGCAGTTCCCACCAGGAACGCAAGCGATTGTACACGCTTCTGCCACCAAGCATCTCGAAAAAAGAAATATTGCGTCTGGTGTCAGAAGCGACTGCCTACATGATTGATCAAACAAGAAAACTGAAGCGTAAAGGTGGTGTATGGGCAACCCCTGATCCCTACATGGGGAAAAAGGTGAATGCCGAAGACGTGAGAGTTGCACTTGAGTACTACACACGCGACGACCTCGCATGCTCTATTCAAAGCCCCAACAAAAAGGACGTCGTCAAAGCCATGATCAACGACAACAAGACCAAAGTCGTAAAAAGGTTTAGGACCCGCTCTATTAAAGAAGCTTACCAGCTGTTTAGGAAGGACCATCCCCATCGAGAACTAGGCATCTCTAAGTTCTATTCCCTACGACCAAAATGGGTAAAAAAGAGTCCCGAGCATGAGGTGTGCGCTTGCATATATTGCGTCAATTTTCAGTTGCTTTCAACGGCAATAACAAATGCCTCACAGGAGACATTTACTGAAGACGACTTCAAGCGCATCTACCTCTGCAGCGCTCCACAAAACGATTGCTTCCTGCGCCGTTGCGAAAAGTGCCCAAAAATGCAGAGCATCTCGCTGCAGTCGCTCCATCTCGATGAAGACGAAGAGATCTGTTACGCGTTATGGGACGCCGGCGAACTCGTCAAAAAGGTTATAGACACTTCCGCTTTCCTAAAGGAACTGGAGTCATGGAGCGAAAAGTGTATGAGGCATTCTTACATCCGTGACCTTCAACGAAGCCTGATACGTGACACAAGAACCGCCTTACCACCCAAGGCAGTGATATTCCACTTAGATTTTGCGGAAAATTGGACAGTCATCTTCCCAACCAATTGGAACAAAACTCTAGTGTCTCTCTTCACATGTGTGGTTACGACCACGCAAGGCACGGAAAGCTTTGCCGTTGTCAGCGATGACAGGACACATGACACAGCTCACGCTCTTCTAGCCACAAAAGCCATAGAAGAGCATGTTGATAAACATTACCCGCTCTTAATAATTTTTGTATCAGACGGAGCGGCGGCGCATTTCAAGAATCGCTTCCAATTCCACGAATTATCTCGGAAGCCGTACTCTTTGGCAAGATGGATCTTTTCAGCCACTGGACAAGGAAAACGCGCTTGTGATGGAGTAGGTGGTGTTTTTAAACACCACGCAACGCTCACCAACTTGAGATCTTCGCTCAACTCAACGATTGTCACCGCTAAAGACTTTGTGGAAGTGCTGGGCAAAAAAGTAACAAATGTCTGCATGCTCCACCTGTCTGCGGAACGGGTTCGAGAGTTTCGTCCGGTGAAGCAAGTAGAATGGGCCACCGTAAAACCTGTGAGAGGAATCCAGGCATCTCATCTGTGGAAGTCATCATGTGCCGAGAGGCCGGATGTATACATGGCCACTTGCGCAACTGAGAGTTTTAAGCTATGCATAGTTAGCGAATTGGCAGAGTGGGGCCGTTTTGTTTTTGTGAATTGTAAGCTAAGTAATGGTATTCCAGCCTAAAGTGCATTTCCGTGTCAGTTATACTAACCCCTTCTGAAAAAAAGAATTTGAAAAATATAAAATACATGCCATAACTAACGCTCAAAATATTTGGTGCTGTGCGGCAAAGCCGCTATGACGAAGACGTCGGCTCGCTCCGAGTGAAGGTGTGTCGTAGCTTTTCCCGTTTGGAGGTCATATGTTACTCAATGTTTTGTCATCACAAGTTAGTTCAAGTCACTGCAAAGTGCCAAGGAAAGTTTAAAAAAAAATAAAAGATGGAGTTTTTGAAATATTGACGCCCAATCTTGCCACATTTCGAGAAATCAGCTGCATTTCCGCGTTAATAACAAGAAGACAATTAAGGGCAGGCATATTATCTCTATACATTCGTAAAGAATATTTATAGGCGCGCATTTTTATATGTTTTGTGAAGTATTATGGCAAATGGTTTATTTGCAAAAACAAATTGTGAATATGTCTCTGAAACGCGTTTTTATGCCATGTTTGATTGTTTTGTTTGCATAGAAATAATTTATTGATATTTTTACTTTTTGTGTATGTGTTGTATATCTTTTGTAAAATGCATTAAAAAAAGTTATGGTGACGTGAAAGCTTTGATGAGAAAATGACGACTGCGCAAAGTAGCATAGTGAAATCTTCTCGATTTCCACGCCACGAGCTATTTTATATCTCAGCGAAAAAATTTGTTACGGCGTTCATATATAGCTTAATGTTCATCCAAAGAACATGGCTTTCATATATATTTTTAACAAAAATATCAAAATTATGACCCGGACCATCATTGCATGAACTGACGTGGAATCACCCTACTGTACACAGTTCAACTTCAAGTTACGTCGCAATGGCCCTCACTCTAAAAAAAGCCCGTGCGTCAACTTTCCCGCACAACATCTTGAGATCAAATCACCGTAGCTTACTGAGACAGCTCAGCGAATGACGACGCCGAAACATATGCTTGGACCGAAAAACGCACTCTGAGTTGTGACATTAGGCAATGCAAGCGTGACGTTCTGCATTGTTTAAAGTCACAACTCAGACTGCGTTTTCTGGTCTAAATATATGTTTCGGCATAGTCATTCGCTGAGCCGCCTCCGTAAGTTGCGGTGATTGGCTCTCTGAGTGTTGTGCGGGAAAGTTGATGCACAAGCTTTTTTTAGAGTGCTGATTGACTGGCTGGAGTCATCATTGACGACCTTCTGGACTTGATGGACAAAGTCGGCCCCGGCCGTCCTAATGGTATCCGATCATGTTTTTTTCCTTTTGGCCACTGACAACGCGTTCCCTTCCGAGTCAAGCAGTTTTTTCCTGACTTCGAAGTCAACTTGCCTTGCCACGTTCAATGTGGTGGCAATCTCTGAATCACCGTAGTCGGCTGCAAGTGCAACGAGCATAACATGCCTTTTCATTTACTGCGTGAGGCTGGAGGCGGCAGTCTTGATTGAATGTCTATAAAGATGGCATATGCATGCTGTTGAATTTGTTGAAAAAGGTATAAACAAATGCAGTTATTGTCTGGACATTCTCGACGTGCCAAACGAGTGCTATCGAACACCGGCCTCATCCTTATGTCGCAATCATGCACAGTCACGCAGAAACTAAACAGCTCCAAGAAAGTGGACGTTCTCCCCCCCTTCAATCAGACCATGCTGAGAAGACGCGGACGATAACTGCAGTTTCTTTGCGTTGACGGGCTCCCCCTGTCTGCTTCACATGGACGAGTCCTGACGTCAGCACTAGTACGAAGGAAAACCGCCAGGATAACGCGTCTCAGAAAACAAACGCTCGCTCTCTTGAAGCTATTTAGTTTCTGCGTGTTTGCACGTAAGTCTACATGATTGCGAATATGAAAGAACCACATTATTGAGAATAACATTAATTTGGTTAATATTACTTTGCGTGACGTAATGTTAATTTGCTTATAGCTTTTTTTCTTTTTATTATGGGCGGATGCTACCTGGTCTACGTTTGCATACGTACACTCCGCGACACTGTTAGCGCGAACAAACCATCGCTAGTTTTCTGTTTGTCTCCCAGTATTAAAAGACTGCCATCAAAAATACTATAGTGATGGCAAGTACCCAGGTGAAATAGTAACTTAAGCGGTAAATATTGATGCCGACCAGCACGTAGTTTCCAAGCAAAAATGCGAAAAATCACCAAAGTCGTGTTCGTGCAAACGTACATCTCCACCAAATCAAATGTTTTTTTGTTTTTGTTTTTTTTCTTTTCTACCGCTCTCCTTTAACCTCATGCGTTATGTACGCGTTTCGAAAAGCTATCTTCTCGCTGCTTCTCGGATAACATTGCTGATTATACTTTTGGTTTCCACATAAGCTTTTCTTGAAGTGTTCTTTTTTGTTTTGTAAAAAGGTCCGTGGGCTCCTCAAGCTTCCTGTAGGTAGTTTGTTTCCTCACTGTCAGCCATGAAATAATAAACATAAAACGATTAATATTAGTAGTGTTACGCGTTCCCAAAGATGACATGGCGGCCGGTCTACACATACGTCGCAGCGCTAAATCAACACAGAAAAGCTTTGATGCAGAACTGACTTGAGCGTAACATAGCGCTGTATCAAGGCTGTATTACTAATATAGCGCGAAGTCAGGGGTGCATCAGCAAGGTCAGTGCTGCTTCCAGTGCTGATTAGTAGCGCTAACCAAACGCTGTGGCGTGTGAACAGGCCAATATACTGCGCGATCTTCTTTGGCACAGAGAAGGTCGAAAAGCGGACAAGCAATTCGCTTCGAGATTCGATCGACACGGCTCATGCTGTGGAAAGCAGAACTACGCTTTGTTTTACACTTACTTGGAGCAATACGAATGCTACGCACGCGGTGCCGACGCCATGAGAGAGGCCAATGCAGCGCTCGCACACTGGAATCAACTGCTAAGAGCTTATGCTCTGTATCATTGCCCATGCTCTGTGCCGTTAGTGCGGATGCTTTGTCTCCACCCGCATTGTGGACAGATAGGGAACCATAGATAAACAAAAGCACACTTCCACACAATTCAATCTGGGTCTCGAGGCCAATAAACCGATATCCCCATCCAGTTTGACTACGCCACCGCTGCCGCAGTGTATCGAGGGAAATTTAGCTTTTATGCGCGTGCGACAACCCTGTTGGAGTTCTGCATGTGTTAGAGCAAAAGATGGCACGAGCCCTCGCACGCAGGGCGGTCTGCCTCCTGTGAGCTAAGGTTGTGGCGGCGTCACGGATGCGCCGAACGTTTAGTGAGATCGGTGCATTCAAGCATTTGATTCAAGCGAGCCTGTGTGCGATTGGCGTTTTCCGCAGAAGATGCAGCTTGCCGGCTGGCTGTCGGCCGTCACCACGGGGCTGACGATCCTGTACGGCGTGTACGACTGGAACGCGTACTCCCCTCCGGGCCCCTTCCTGAGCATCCTGTACGGCTCGACCAGCCGACCCGCGTGGTCGCTGTGCGTCGCCTGGGTCACCTTCGCCTGCGTTTCTGGCCACGGAGGTACATCTTCCATAGAGGGTGTTCACTGGCAGTCATAGCTGAGTGCGTAGCTGCTCAGCGCGTACTGACGGCGAGCTTCTACGGGGCTTTTGCAATGAGCATTCACACCATCAAGACTGCCGCTCTTGGAAGCCTATGCGGAGCGCGAGTTCGTCTGCTTCTTTTGCAGGGGTTGTGGTGACGTCAGAACGCTGAACCCTGATTGGCTCTGATTGAAGGTAGGTAGACCTCAAGGCAGCAGCTTCCTTGAGGTCTACCCACTATCCTTTAATCAGAGCCAATCAGAGCACGACGTTCTGACGTCACCACACGTCGAAGGGCGCTCGGCATCGGGCTCGGGTCCCATTGCTGGGTTTGGCGTCGTCCGAGTGTAGGGACGTTCCACGGGGGAATTGAGTAGGACGTTGGCATGGCCTCGACTACTCTATGTGGTGTTCAGCAAAGCCACCTCGATGGCAGCCGATGCGATATTGATAGGAGCCGAATGTAATCACTGACAGGATGAGAATGGCAGCGAGGTATTTCCGTTGTCCCGCCTCCGGCGCGAGCTTCCCTCCCCCGATAACGGCGTCTCGCGAGCTTTGAGCGTGCACGGGCAGTCAAAGCCCGGCGAGAAGGCAATGCGCGCGTGCTGCAGGCCCGGCATCACAAGGCCGGTCTCATCCTGTCACTGACTATATATACACCAACACGCGGCCGTGACGTCAGGCCGCTGCGGAGGCGCTGCTCTCGACAGTGCGCATGCGCAGACGCTGCACTTCACGCGAGTCTTTGTTCCTGCGCACGCGTAATGTCCCACACCTTGTGCGGGAACTGCGCGTTTGCCTCCAATTCGCGAGAGCTTGTTTGTAAATAGCGCGTTGGCCTATAACAACGGCACGCTATCCACCCACTACGCAGGCGATCAGGCTCCTTAATCACCACATACGGCTCAATGTTTCAATTAGAAGGAGACGTCTTGTTTCGGGCCCGACTTGGAAGCTCGTTTGCACTTTTCGTTCGTACGTTCAGACGCGCGAAAGGCGCCTTTTGGAACGCTTGCTCACTATACTGCGTTTCGTCCGACCTCAGCCACGATCCGATAGAGTCAATCAAGATGCGTCAAACGCGCATCGTCAAGGCAATTGACATCTTTGTTGTTTTTTTGTGTTTTTTTTTGGGGGGTGGGGGGGGGGCCTTATATGCTACACGGCGGGACGAAGCGGGACCGAGAGACCAGGACAACGCCGTCTGCTGCGATTGGTCAGCGCTGCGCCACTGACCAATCGCAGCAGGCGGCTTTGTCCCGATCCTTTGGTCCCGCTTGGTCCCGCCGTGTAGCATAAGGCCCCTGTTCTTCCCTCTTGTCCGTGCCTTCAAGCGCAACTATGTTTTCAAAGTTACAACGCCAACGCACCCAACAGCCAGCATGGTTTTTTGTGCGTTTGTTGTCGCCCACTAAATGAATCAAGCACAATAAAAAGCGCAGGATCAAGGCGCTTTTGTTGTGCCTGATCGGTTTGGACAACGCCACCCAGACAGAAGGCCTCCGCATGGCCTTCTCTCCCTCTATGAAACGCCATCAGAGTTGGATCGCGCTAACTCTGCTATTGGGCCCGAGCCCGACCTTCGACATGCTGATTGGACACGAGCCCCAGCCGAACACTGACGCAGCACTTGTGCCCAATCTCACGCCTCGATCGATCTGACTGTCATGACACGTGCGGAGTCCCTCTGTCTAGGTGGTGTTGGTTTAAATCAGGGGTCGGCAACCGGTGGCCTGCGAGGCAATATTTTATGCCCCTGGCACACCACCAAAAATGACCCCCCCCCCCCCCCCCCCCCTCCACTCACCTCCCTCCCGAACCAACACCGCCTAGGCGACAAGGCCGAAGTGCTCTCATTTTTGCGTCACCATGCAGCAAAGGCCAACGCTGGACACAAGTTAGAAACGAGTGCCGCGTCAGCGCTCGGCTTCAAGTCAAGTTTAAGCCGAACGTTGACGCAATTGTCGTGTCCGATCTGTGACCAGCGTTGGCCTTCGCTGATGACGCCATCTCATTAAGCACAATGGCTCTGTTGTCTGGGAGGTGTTGCCCGAAAACGCACTTCAGGGCAATGGGTATACGTTTGGTTGCAAACCGGTATTATTGCTACTATTCAGTCTGTAAAATAGACCGATCTCACCAGTTAATTTGACTACGCCATCGCCGCCGAAGTGCATTGAGGGAACTTTAGTCTTTCTGCATGTGCAGCAATCCCTCTGGAGCTCTAAACTCCAGAGGGGTTGCTTTCTTCTAGGCTTTGATACGTACTTTAGCTGTTTAATACGTTATATCCCACTGCCATCGAGCCTCTCGAAGAAGTTGGGGCCGTCAGTTCGATGTCAGTGCGCTGTACGTCGAACTGAAGTTTTGGGGTGTCTCATATGGGACAAAGGGTGTAAGATTACACCCTTTTTAATTCTGTGTCAGGAGTGCACATGGGCAGCCGCTACAATGAACAGCATGGTGTCCTGACGATTTTGATATCTTCTGGAAGCTGTATGCTCATGGGCACGATCATCCACACACCTACCCGTCTGAGCTATATAAGACCATCCGCACACATAGGAATTTGATACACAACCCCTGTGGCGCAATCAGTGAAGAACTTATTAACCTAGTTGGGTGTTTAGTGCAACACGCGTCTATGTTCGGCTCTTGGTTATTGATTGGGTGGCCCAACCTCGCCCTCGTGTTAAATGCCGAAAAATACAACCGTTACACTGCAGCGTTACGCTAGTTTCTTTAGATTGTGGGTTTCTTTGTGCATTTTACGGAATGACTACCGGCCTCAGAGACATGTTATAGGGCTTCGATTTTTCCACCCTTTGATATTTTTAGTGAGCTTTCCGCCAGCTGAAGCAATGTGCTCTGCGGAAAGCCAGCTCTGAGCAGGCGCTTAATCTTTCTCCCAAAGCTATCCCGTGTGCTGTGCCAATGGGGCTTTTTAAGGGATGCTTCTGGACACGAGCTTGCTATGCGTCTTTTTACTAATTTTGAATTGGTTGAATCATAAAGAGAGGACATCTTTTTTATCGAGGAGCCTACGTCTAGCGTATGTGCTTCTTTGGTAAACTTCGCACTGAAGGCCCGTTCACACACTTCCGACTTCTTAGAACTGTGTGCCTTGAAACCTTTTAAAATTTCTTACTACGGCATTTGGTGGTCCCGTGTATTTACTATTCCTTGCACGCATCATTGTTTCTTTCTTGGCTCGAAAAAAACTTTGTCAATGTTATAAACGACCATTTTTCATAGGTATACACGTGCACTCTAAAATAGCACACAACCTTCGCTATAGGGAAATGAAGTTCCAGGGTCACCGCATAGATGGAGCCAGCGTGCCAGTGTGTTCTCTGGTCGTGAGGGCCTAAGGCGTCGCAAGTGTGTGCTTAAAGAGCCTCTCCAGCCCAAAAATGGAGGTCGTTAGTTTCGTATCAAAATCTTGCGGCAGGTACCAGGGCCTCCTCGTGGAAGTGTCTACGAAATCTCAGCTCACGTTTTGAAGAATAAATCGTATAAAGCGCCTCTGGAAGTTCTCATATTGCAACTCACTCGATAAACGAACCGTGACCTAACATGATGAGGATGCCGTCTCCTTTGGGCTTTCCTTCCTCCTTGCCATCTATACATTGCTTCTTCCCCCGCCTGTTGTCATCGCGTCGGTCGCGTCTCGTCGTTCGACGCATCTTGACTTTATATTAGCAGCAGAAGTGTAAGGAAAACAAGGACAAAAGGAGAGAACACATAAAAGTCGTAATGTAGATGGTTGAGCGTGTTGGTTATTAATTTACGATAAGGAAAGAGGGACATTGAGGACAAACAGACAAGCCTGTCTTGTATGTTTGTCTTCAATGTGCCTCTTTCCTTATCGTAAACATAAAAGTCGCGTTCACTTACAATTAACGTTTCTTCTTCCACATCTTTGTGAGAAGCGGGACCACGGTACAATAAAACGAAAGAAACCACAAAAAAGAAAAACACCCTGGAAATCTGCGCTCATTACATTCACTACTTCGCCAAATAGTATCATTCTTGTGCGGATAAAAAACAATGGAAGGTGCGCTGATACATTTGTCATCGAGGTGCGCGATCTTCTCTTCTTCAAGAATTTCTCGAATTAGAGGATCGCCACTCCGCATCGACGCAGTGCATTTTGTGAACGGGGCATCATAACCACCGTCTAGGTAGTGAATTTCTAGAGGGCCAGAGACAGTCTCGTACCTGTTGTTACGGAGCTCTTACGGCCGATTGTTGAAACAGCTGCCCCCGCAAAAGGCGTTATGTCACGGTTTGTGGCTTTAGTATCTTTTTACATCACAGATTTTGTCGAGTGATGAAACGAAAATGCGTGTATCAAAGTCTGAGCCTCCCGAATTAAGCTCTTGGGGAAATCGTAGGTATTTTGGTTCGATAATTTAGCAGCGTAATTAAAGAAACGTAAGCCTTGCGCGAGGCGTGAGGGCCAGCTACGATCGCTATTTTTAAATCGGAGGGCGCTCGTAAGTTTACTAAAGGACCACATATGCTGGACGGACCACACACAGTGCCGCATCTGATCGTGACGTTGGCTATGGTCGAACGTAAACTGAAACAGTACAGACGGTACACCCACGCTCAATAATGAATAAACAAGCACCATCCCAGCGTTTTCAAATCATTTCATAAAAACCAATTAAATGAGCCATGCTTGTTCGGTTGTCCTTTAACCCCTTTGTCTTCCCTCGTGCCGCGTCCGTCTTCTGCAGGGTCTCGTCGACCACCGCGGTGCTCTACCTTCAACAGTAACAAAAACGTAACGGATTACGTGAAGTAACGCATTCCTCTCGAGAATCGGTAACGAGCAACGTACTTAGTTACTATCTAAGAGCGTAACGAGTAACGATAATTTTAGTAACGTCTGCGTATTTTCTTGAAAGTGCCCTGAAACTGAAGCTTCGCATGCTTGTATCCTTTCACGAGGTCGCGCTCTTTATTCAAGAGAGCAGAAGGTTTCAAGTTTCGAGGATTCTGAATCATTGATACGTATAGACATATCTGCATCACCCTCTCAAAAAGAGGAACGAGTCGCAATGCGTACGGCGCGGACGTAATTTTTAGAACCTTGCGCCGGGTCCCTTTCCGGTAGGCAATTCATGATTATCGTCGCGGTTGGCACTTCTACAATGTATATTGTCCCGTTTCGTGCGGCGTTTCTCTCCGTTCCAGGATTCGTGAACACGCTGCTGTCGTGGAAGGCGTTCGTTCCACTGAGCAAGCTGACGTTCATGGCGTATCTGCTCCACCCGCCGCTCATGTTCATGTACGCGGCGCACACTATCAACGCCGTCTACGTGACGCAGTTCATGATGGTAGGTACAAATAAAGTCACCGGGTCTCGGGAATGTGGCGGCATTGCCTTACCGTCTGCTAGCCGGGCACAAACAGGCGCTAGTATACGGACAACCAAACCTCGGAAGGTTTGGTCGTTCGAATGGTCCATGTTGCAACGGCAATCGCCATTTCAATCCCTTTAAATCTTCGAAGCTTTGAAAAGGTCGTGCTGAAGCAATCGCTCCAAGATTGATATGGAGTATCATTGTACTGGAAGGCGTTCCTCTCCAATATAAACGTGTTTATTACTGCGCATAAAAAAAGAAATGGATTGGCTGGTATATGTACAATGTGAAAGATGCTATAAAATATTTATTATTTTACAGCTGTTTATGGCTCGGGTTTTGTGGATTTTTCGTGTGCGTGACCAAAAACTCTACGCTCACACCGCCGCACGCGCTCGCCTTCCCCGGATAAAATATTCGAAGTAAATAACCAAAATAAAGCGTTGACGAACGCGCGTGAAAGATGCCATTTGTTTTAGGCTTTTGCTTTAGGACAGTTACTGCTGCCATTGCTTCCTCTATACTCACAAAGCCTTGCAGTTCAATGATGGAGCCACAGAGTGCCCGGTCTCAGAGTAGGAGCTTGAGGATTTGGTAGATAGAGCAATTCTTGGGGAACCTGGACGTCAGCGCACAGCTTTTGCAGCGGCGAGGACCCGAAACATGGTTTTCAAACTCGACGATAAAAGAAGCGGTAGCGCGAGGAAGGCGAGGAGCACGAGCGCACGTTCCATCGCTCGGGACAAGTGTGTTTCGGCGCCACACCGCAGCGGGGCGCCCGTCACGTGGCTATCCTCTCATCCGTTGTCTGCCGCTCTACCTTTTCATTTTTGGCGGCCGCTTCTCGTGGCGATCTGCCTGGCTTTGTCAGTATTAACGACGTGCGCGATCGAAAGCGTTGCTGTGGTCGTCCTGTCACGATTTGCCGAATGCTGACTATGACGTCAGCAAAGGTTTCCTCGTCGACAGAAATAAGAGTAATAAAAGAACTTCATTTTGACGTTGTTTGCAGTGTTAGTTTCAAAGCGCAGTGATTTTAAGCTTCCATCATACTAATTACAAACACCATCGAACTTGTTGTTCGCGAGGTAATGACGTCACGAGAGGGAACCATAGGAGGGCGCCACTAAAACATCTCGCCGCTAGTAGAGGAGGCTATGCTGTTGCAGACGCCGGCACGGGCGGCGCGTGGAACACCATTCCCTGCATCCTCATTGATGCTTGGGTAATTTAGCAATAGGTCTATTCAGTAGATTGGTTAACAATAGGCACCATTTTCAAGATCAAGACTCTGAGGTAGATAATAAAGGTTTTTCAAAGATTTGCCGCTGTAGGACCCTCTTCGGCCATGTGTATACACTCGCGCCGCCCTTCCTTTGTCGTCGTTCCAAGCCCTCCTGCATGCCCAGTTTCCTTTCCTTCCACTCTCCCGGGGTGGCGATCCCTTCGCGCGCGTCTACTTTCTGCCGAGTGGCGGTCTTGTCGCGCGTGTCTAGTTTCCTCCGGCTCCTCGGGGCGGATCTGTGTCGTGTGCTAATCAGCTTCTCTGGTCATCCACGTTCACAAAGTGGAATGGCTCATGATTTTTAGTATTAACTTATTAGTCATGTTTTTTTCTACATATCTCTTAGAATGGTATTGTTGTTCTTGTGTATTTCAAGACAAGAAAATTATTTTTCAATGTCCCCAAGCACCGACACAGCATGCATGCGATGGCGGTACTAAGATGTCTGCGCTTGTTTCTCCGGTGTGGGGATAACGAAATCTCGATATCCAAGAAGTGTCTCGATGAAGCAGCCTGTAACCATAAATTTGAATCGGCTCGGTAAAAATGAGGAGGTGAAGGGGAAACATGCGCATTTCATGAACCAAAATTGCGTCCATACGGAGAGCTCGGTGCTACTTTCCCAGGATCCAATGACATTTGGTGCAAAGACCTCGCAAATGATCCTCTCCTGCGTGCTGTCATCTTTGTCTAGAGCTGAGGATCGCATTTAAAAAGCGTATAGTAGGTCTCTCTCGCGATGTAGTGGACGACGTACGTATCCGTGCCTTGCCCAGTGACTGGGCACATTTAGCATGTGCGATAAGTGTTGGGCTGGTACGCCACACTAATAATTGCCTTTTGAGCGCTGCCCTCGTCTGCTGGGTTGTGGAACACGTTCTGAGCATGCGCTATAGATTCTTGTGCACAATATCAGATGCACCCGCATCTCAGTGATTCTCGTCATTACAATTCACTTACCATTCAAAGTATTCTTGATGTGTAGACCATTGCAAAGAAGGGCTTCTTGCCGCTGCCATGTCCAGTGTTCGCACGTATGGCGCGTGCTTTTCTCGCCTTTGGAAGCGACGAACACGTTTATACTAGGCTGTGGAGATCGCAGGCTGTGCTGGAGATCTTGAAACATTGAAATGGTGTATTGAAAACCGGGTGTTTTTGCGAAGACTTTCAAAAATCCTAAAAATTAGGGCGATTGAAGAAAGAAGAGACTCTCTTCGGGAACAAACTACCAGCCACGGCGGACGTCAGGAATTGCCAAAAACCTACTAATTAGCCAGATAATTAATTAAAACTTGTTAATTAACTTTTTAATTAGTGGAAATAGACATATGATTCCAATTAGAAAGTTGCCGAGCGTTATCGAAAACCACTAAATCAGTCATTTTCAGAAAGACTTTAAGCGCTTGAGAAGAGTAGTAGCGCACTAAAATTACCACTCGTGGAGCAGGTACAAGGCTGGGGCTAGATAAGAGGCGGAAAAATCGCGCGGGCGCCTTACCGCAACCGCTAGCCTTGTACCTGCTCCACGAGTGGTAACTTTAGTGCGCTACTACTCGTCTCGCGCGCTCAAAGTTTTTCTGAAAATGACTGATTTAGTGGTTTTCGATAACGCTCAGCAACTTTCTAATTGGAACCACATGTCTATTTCCCCTAATTAAAAAGTTAATTAACACGTCTTAATTAATTATCTGGCTAATTAGTTGGTTTTTGGCAATTCCTGACGTCCGCCGTGGCTGGTAGTTTGTTCCCGAAGAGAGTTTCTTCTTTTTTCAATCGCCCTAATTTTTAGGATTTTAGAAAGTCTTCGCAAAAACACCCGGTATATATATAGTATGTGTAGGGTTAAGAACCAGGTATGCTCCGTTCACCCTTAGCTGAGACTAGAAGCTCCGCCTTTAGCGCGAGCTTTCTGCCCTTGATAACACAAGTGTGAACACGCAGGCGCGCGCCACCAAAGCGCTGCGGAAGTCAGAGAGCTCGCGCTGAGAGCGGAGCTTCTATAGTCTCGGCTAAAGGATGGACGGAGTATGGATGCTCCAACTTGAGTTCGAGCTTTCTTTTCTCTATAACAATTTGTCACACATCCAGCCAATTCCCGGTAGAAGGCAACGGGCACGTGCTGGATGCGGAGCTTCTACTCGATTGTTAACTTCTCACCGACTATGGTATACATAAGTCTCTGATACACCTCAACTTGCAGGTGTACCTGTACTTCGCGCATCTCCTGGCGTGCTACATGGCTTCCTTTGTGGCATGCGTGACGTGCGAGTCGCCCTTCATCAACGTCGAGAGGATTCTTTTCGGCGCACTCAACGAGTTTCGACAAAATCGTGCAGCGCGGAGGGTCGCGAGTCCTCCGACAGACGGCTGCTACGACCATCGAACCAAGTCATCCGATGTTCTAGAAGACGGCGGGAGGGAGGACACCGGGAATTTCAGCGAGAGATCCAGAAGGTCGTGCATGGTTGCCCTACCCGCCGTCGACACGTCTGACCACAATACGAGCTCCAGCAGCAAGCTGTAGGACCATATAATCATCGTGACTGCCTTAGAAAAAGTGACGCCACAAACCTCCTTACATACTTCAGCATGACCTCCGGATGCAGCATGGCTTCCGGACTGAGGTGGAAAAGACTAAAAACAGTAAGAGAGTAGCACACAAGAAAAAGGACGACAGACAACATCTCAACCTCAGCTAGGAGGTTTAATCTGTCAACGCCTTAGACCCTCTTTCTAATGTTCTTCATTGTCACGGACGGAAATGCACCTTCTTACTTTCACCCTTTCCACACCAGCCTCAGGGTTTACTATCGTGCTGACTGTTTGGTGTCTGCTCGCCTTCGTATGTTTCAGGACAAGTACAGTTCCGGTAGCCTCTTGTCGACGTCATCTGAGAGCACGCTTGACTGCTCCCATTGTACACGACTTCGTTCGGTTTACGGGTGCAGCTCCCATGCTATACAGTTGATGCAGGAAGTACACCGCCCTACGCCAAGGGTACGCGCTTTCTTTACTTGCGTATATATTAGCGTAGAACGGAGCAAGCGAACGAGACGACTATTTTAATGTCACCGCACCTGTTGGGCAAACATATGATGCAGCAGGAGTTTAAGGATTCCATACCAAACCTTGAAGGTTCTATTCGTGATGCTGACTGTAAGAACCCAGACCAGCTTATGGTTTTTTTTAGGTCACGTGACTGGCTCCAAGGTGAGAAAGGTACCTTTTGTTTCCTGTCCCCGTGGAGCCGGTCACGTGACCTCAAAATTAATTTTGCGGGTACTTTTACCACCGGGAGAGATACCCGCATTCACCAACAAACCAGCCAAGGTATCCAACTCTTTCACTTGAATCTGTAGTATTGAGAAGAACCTTTCTGTTGAGTGATCGGTCAATTTCCCGATAGGGACTTTACTATTCGTAGATTGTACGCATGGATTACGGGCCCTGCGGGTGAATCCTGAATCCGTGCTCAAATCGACGGCACCTGCTTTAGCTAGCAACGCAAGGCTCTTGCGTGAAGCCGCACCATATCTGCGTATCTGTTCTCTACAGACCCCCTAAGTTGCAGCTCAGTTATGGTACCTACCCATATTTTAATATCGGGCATACAGCCACTTGCACTTCCTGACTACTTTGAATCTATCCGCCGTGACTGTAAATACGCGGTGCATACATTATGTTTCCCGTTCCTTATAAATTTGTACAAAAATGTTCACGCAAATGGTGATGTATATACGTTTCACATTTGTATACTTGTTTTTAACTACCAGTCCTAACGAAAAGCATGTAAACACGCCTGAAGGAACTTCAGATCATTCAAGTGTCTGCCAGAACTTCATTTAACAAGTTCTTCATTTGAAACACTTTCCCTCGGACATATCTTGTTTTGTCGCCTATGTTTTGTTAGCTCGGCGCCGCCACTTATGACCCAGGATACGCACGTCAGGAAGCTTGCGTGCAGATTGCTATCTGTTGTATTTAATAGCATATTTCAAATCCTTATTATCTTTCGAGGCCTGCCTTACGCAACAATGTTATTAGCCCGATGCAAGTGTCATTTGTGTTACTTCACTTAGGCATTTTGGCATGATACCCACACACTCTACACTTACATCGAAAGAAGGTTCTGCTAATGGCCAGTGCACATAGAAACAGATGGAAGCCCATGTGAATAGCTAGAATGCGTCGAACGTCGAACAAAAGTCTCCATTTTTTTAAGCTTCCAAAATTTTAAGAAATGACATTTTTTTATATATATATATTTGTCTAAAATATTGAGCTCGAGAGTACATTTCTGGAGAAAGACATTTCAAAAACCATAACGCGTCCCTCTTGGAAACTTGACGTCAGAAATTATGATGGTCCTTCCAAAGTGTGTGTGTTTTAATGCAAAAGCATTTAAGGCCCGTTCAAACTCTTGCGACCGAGTAAGACCGAGAGAGACCAGACCGGTTTTTAAGCCTCTTACGACGTCTTAGAACCTGCTCCGCTGCAGCGCGTCGGGTCCTAAGACGTCGCAAGAGGCTTCAAAACCGGCCTGGTCTCTCTCGTTCTTACTCGGTCGCATATATGTGAACGGCGCTTAGCTGTCCCATGGAGCGAAGCCGGTGTTATCTGATGTCTGTAGCAGCAAAAAACGACACCTAAACACATTATTTGGCTGAGTGAAACGGCATGTAAATACCCATTGGCTGAGCGAAACGGCACTTAAATCCAATTGGCTGAGCGAAACGGCGGGTAAATTCCCATTGGCTGAGCGAAACGGCACATAAATTCCCATCAGCTGCCAAGAGGACGCGCCTCAGAAAAAATAAAACACAAAGAAAAGCACAGCAACGCAGATGCTTCGTCACGGAAGCCGTGGAGCCGGCGAGGAGTGTGAGGTCCGCGTCGAAGCGCCGTGTGAAAAATGAAGACGCGGCGCACTGCATGTAGGAATGCGCTGCATGTAGGAACACGAAAGCATTCCTACACGTAAGCAGTCTAATGTGTCTTCGTTTAATTTTTGCATTTCTTTTATTATTTCTTTATTTTATTTTTTGCAGCTTTCTGAAGTCCCAAAGGCTCCAAAACAGGATGCCACCCGCAAATCGGTTTATAATACCTCCCAATATGTTGATGTTGTATATTATCGTTTTGTAGATAAGATGTGTATCTCTGGTATACAGTGGACCAAGGCGCGAGTGACTTCCAAGGACCGTGCTGAGAACCTAAGGCCTATGTAGTTTGCGTGTTTTGTTTTTGTACGTGTGTTCGCTCGTGAGTGAGAAAGTGCATGTTTGCCCTTTAATGTTTCCTGAACGACCTTGTAAAAAAAGTAAAAATTAGAAAAATAAAATGGCCAATGTTAACAGTTGATGTATTTTATACAATGGGTATTACTCAAGAAATTTCTTCCGAAAACTTAATGAGCTGTGCGAGACGCGCGAGGAGTGGCAAAACAATAATATCACGCAGAATCCAATTACATCATATGACAGGTGAGATGATCGAGGTCCGTCCTTTTACTCTAGACTGCACATGACAAATGTAGCCCCAATTAAATAACCAATCAAGGGCTTCATTTGGACGTTACCTGGATATTTCACTCTCACACGAACAGTCAGCATCTTCGACTTTTTTAGAGAATGCCAAATATCTCCAAAACCATCCTATTAGCTTATAGAACAAAACTAAAAGGAACATTAAATCTGAGGTCAACGCAGCCAAAAAAGTATTATTTGCTGATAAAAAGAAAACTAAAAAGCACTTTCCGAACTCCATAAAAAGAAACTTCCAGAACGCAACAGCCAAACTTCTTTAACAGAGTCTGACCGCCCTTGCAAAGATTGTCGTCAGTAAACGTCCAGTTGGTGTTGCCACTGATTTTTCTTATAGGGAGATGAATGGCGCGAAGCTGCTCTTCGAGCCTGGCGCAAGTGAAACTACCGTAGTTCGATTATTGTCCCAGAAATCGGGCGTCTGCTGGGCTTCCTATAGTGCATTCAGTCGATGTTTTGGTTCACTGCTTTCTTGTGTATTTGAGTGGGTCTTAATAATCTCGTTTTGCATTGATTCCGGAGAATGAGACGTTTGAGCGTGGGCAATGCGCAGTCGATCAACTAGAATTTCAAAAAGTTCACCTCCAGTGGTTTCCGAGGAGTCTTTGCGGATCTGCATGCGCTGTTACTGCGCAACAAGAAGACAAACTTCAGCGCCCTGCACTCTGCTCGAACCAGTACTCGGAAGAGTGGAAAAGTCTGTCAAATGCTCACTTCCGGGACAAGCCGCTTACTTCCGGTGGCTTTATACCTGTTTTCTCAATGCGCCACCCAACCCCCTGGTGGAGGAGATCAGCGGCTGTTGTATCTGGAATCGGAAAACACTATCCGCGACTTCAAGGGAAAAGGCTGAATCACACCAAGGGCGCGTATTTGAAACAAGTTAATTATTTGTAATTACTCTGGTCGAACCGTCAAACTGTATACTGCAGGACGTCTGCCGACAGAAAGGAGGGGCGAAAATCATGTCGCGAAACGAAGTTTGAGATAATTGATGCGTGCTTAAGCGTGATCACGATCTTGGACCGTGTCCAACAGCTTAATTGCTATGAGAAATATGCATAGGCTATACTTGTACGCTTGTATACTTGTACGCCTCAGTTTCGCAAGAGAACGTGTTAATCGTGAGATCAAACCAAAGGCACCTGCTAGAAGCTTCTAAAGATCCAATCACTTTGGCAGCCGCAGCCTGACGGCACTGATCTCTTACCATTTACATGAGTATACCTACATAAATGTACAGAAAAATGGCATTCAGCCTGACAAACTCAAAACATCGTCATTTTGAAATATATAAATAACATAGAAACAAACAATACAACAAACACAAGATACAGAACGCATTGAATATATGAACGTAAACAGATAACACAAAACCCCTATCAGTGTCAAGAACAGGAACCTCATAGATATTTTTCTTTTAAATACACTTTTATTGACAAATATAATTCTTAATATGGTCAACTACCACCAGCTCATGTGCGCCCTAACTTTCTGTTCAATAAAAAGTGGTTGGTTCGCATCTAATAAAAATTTGATATAACTGCCAACCAGTAGTGCTCTGCACTATTTTATTTTAAATATTGTGAAGGATTGTTTATGTTTTATATCGGATGTGCTATTAATTAATTATTTGATATTGTGAACTCTGCTTTCCGTACTTAGTCCGGGTATGGGGCGTTCGTTGTTCGTGCAACATGATGGAACATATACGGCGATGTTTTTGTTTCGCTGGAAGTAACATATAACTTTATTTTATAAATTAATTGTAGTAATCTAAAATAATATACTTTATTTGCTAAGCACTTTAAAGAAAAGCCACTGAGGACTGAGTGGTCAGTTCTCTAATGTTCCCTCTTTAGTCTGCAAATATTCGTAGAACATTTTTATAGGGTTAGTAATTTGCTATAATTGAATATTGTTATTGTACCCTAAATAAAAATTCTATACGAATTTTTTTTAGAAGAATAGAAAGTAAAACAGTGTTTCAACGAGCCACCTAGGAACCAGGCTTGCTACAACATGGCCCACACACAACTCGGGACACTTCAGTCTTCAATTTATTTACAAGTGCATTCCATTTGAACTCTTGATTAAACCACACGCCAAAAACGTTTTGCTTTGTTAGCTGTTTCAATATGAATTAAATATGAAAGGAAGTGTTCGTTACACCAACAAAACGGACGGCACCTTGCCGGAAAGCTTTGAACTGGCCAGGAGAGGTCCTCCCCATTTGCACGTTGTCGGCGGTTGGCTCGACGGCCACCGAAGTGAAGCGAAGGCGGTTGCTCAGGTTGTGTCTTCAGCAACGAAAAATGCTGAATTGCCCGCAGGGAAGACCGTTACTCATAATGGCCTAATAAATTAGGTATGCCTTCAATTGCTTATGTTAGGCGAACAGTTGTCCCAGTGACTCTGTCGGCAGAAAGACAAAAGCTCACCTGTTTTGTCACAAACCCCAAAACAAACTCACCTCTTTTCCTTTTTTTTTTCTTTTTTTTTTTTTTTTTGGGGGGGGGGGGGGGGGGGAGCGGGGGTGGTAACTTGGGCGAAACACGGGCTGGGCGAAAGTGCGGGCGCGACGGACATTGCATCATTTTTAGAATGCTGCTTCTTCCACTTTTACGAAAGCACGCAAAAAAAGGTAAGTCAAAAGAAACCATTCTACCGTTCTCAAAAGGAACGTGTTGGTAAGAAAAATATAGCGCCATCACTATTCCTACATTTATATTGCAAGCAGTGACGGTTTGTCTTGTCACTTCAGCTGTCTGGAATGATGTTCGGCCTCTGTGAACAATTTGCTGAGAAAACAGCTAAACGAGCACACCTCTTCATTACTAATGGATGAGTTTTCTTGGGGTTCAGAGTAATGTTTGAAGTGAATTGCTAAGAAAATAAACTTGTTTCCGTCATTGTGCGTCGTAAATGTGTTTGAAATCATATGTTATCTTAGGGTGATGTCAAATGGAAACTGA